AGTAAGTTAGTTGTTGGGACAATATCAGATGTATTCTACCATTATATCCATAGCTTGTCTTGCAGAAGACTCGTTTCCTGACATGCTACTAAATCTTCCTTTCCGGGCTTTGACTTCTCTGTACCATACTCTTCATCCTGGTTTAGCTGTGCTACACTTTCCTGCAGCTTCTGTGGTGTGCAGGGTTCATGATTTCTAGTTAGAACCATTCTGAAATCCTCCTTGCTTGTTATAATTTTTGTAGGTCTGAGAGAGTAGTAAGCAAGCTGGATGATAATGGTGCAGCTGAAAAGTCCCAGTTCTCAGGGCCAGGGGTTTGGCTAGCTCAGAATGAACGGCTCCTTAAAAATACCACTGTAAATGGCTTCAGAGAGTCCAAGGTGATTTGCTCCCTATATATAATTGCCTAAAGTAAATTGGGTCAAGATCTAGGCTACCATTTTACAATGACACCGTACTGTTGCTGGTGAGAAATACGATTATTTAGATTATCACAAAATATCACTGCTTTTTTATTAAACTTATTTCACTCGGCCTGATAATGATTATTCCACAGCACAATAAAGGTTTGCAGATTTTTAATTTTCAGCATTGTATTAATATCTCATTTATCTCTAGTCTGTCTTCATTTCTATAACCTCATTATGGTATATGAACCATTATTAAAGTATGTGAAACTGAGAAAACCACACGGAAATACTTTTAGGATTTTGCCCAAACATATTTTTATCTTATTAAAAAAAATCAAAAGAGAAATGCATTTCCTGTTAGTACTTTACCATGTGACTTTTAAAACTTATGTTAATTTTTGAGTTCATACATTTATAAGGTTGAAAGTGTTTTATATAAAATTTATCCTTCCCACTTGTAGATTTTAGAGTTTGGCAGTCTTACAGGCATGAGATAGATTACAACAGAAGGACCACATTTTCTATCTGTTTGTTTGTCTGTCTGTCTTTATTTGAAAGCAAAGACAGTGAATGCAAGAATTTTGTGTACATTTTAGTGGTATTTGCTAAGAAACAACATTCATATTCCATGACTGTGAATACGGGAATAAATCAGAGCTTTGTCTGAAGTACTTGCTGGATGCTGAAGCTTTCCATTAACCAGGACTTCTTAATGACATGCTCTTCTGGGCATTAAGTAATCAAGGGCATCTCTTTGCTCCATTCTACTGGGTCCTGACGTGCTGCTCCCAAGAATGCCCTGGCTGCCATTTTCACCTGGGGAGGTGCCAGGGGAAGGACCAGCTGCTCATATTTAGACGTTTGCAGCTATGACTCCCATATCCAATTCTGGCTCCTCTCCTGTATTTCCTGTACCCTCAGGGAGAAGGATGCAGAGTGTGTGTGCCCTGCTCCAGCCTTCCATCAGACACCACCCTTGGCTCATACCCGTCTTGGTGCCATCTGCTTGGAGACATGGAGGATAATAAAAGAGGCTCCCATTTATTGAGTGCCTGCTGTGAACTAAGTATTTACATCTCCAATTTCAAATTTTCACATGATCCTAGAAGGATGTTATCAGACCCATTTTTATAGTTCTGGAAAGGAACACTTGGAAAAGTTAAAAAAGCTCTCCCAAGTAATGTGATGCCATGATTATATTTGGGCCTTTCCTCTTTTCCATCAGTGGGAGAGACTCTCTCTCTCTCTCTCCTTGGAGAAATCTGTGAGCACTGTGTCTGATTGACTCTTCACTTTCCATAGCAGCCTTCCCTAGAGAGCTGATCTCCTGCTCTCATCCCAGGCTGCTGTCCTGAATTTCTCACAGTGATTTGGCCCTCCCGTTGAATTTTCTGGCTTCTTGTCTGTTAGACTCAACTGATATCTTAAAATATCCGATTAGTACTTGATAGTGTTGGCAGGTTGGAATCATATTTTTTTTTTAAAGGAAAGTATATTTTAACTCAACTTTCTGATTTCACTCATTAGGAGAACATATTTTTTCCCATGTTAATCGGAAAAACTGGACAAAGAAATGACCACCTGTTAGCTGCTAATGAAGTTCACATGCCTTTTTAAAAAAGTAATTCTGGCTTTTTCTGCTTACAATCTTGGCGACAAAACTCATGGGAACATCAAGGGCACAGGAAGCCAAAGGCAGCAAACAGACAATAGAGTTTGTGCTTGGACTACTAATAAGGGTGAAATCACTGTCAATGTGACTCCACATAATTATCGAATCTCCAGACAGTGACTTAAAACAGAATGTGTGATTTAAGAAACCTAAACTTTGGATATTCAGATATAAGACCTAGTTCAGAAGGGTTTCACAACATGGGAGCTCCTACTTGAAGTTTTAAAAAAGCCCAAACATGCTTTAATGATTTCAAACCTGTGGTCTAATTTAGGATGTTGCAGATAGGTCAATCACTATGCCTTTCAAGTGAAAATAAATACATGCATAAGATCAGATATAACTTAGTTTAAACAGTGATTTGCTGCATCCTACCTTGAAAGAAGTCTTACAACTCTACACAGCCAAGAAGACACGGGCAAGAAATAGTTTTGAAAATTGTGATTAACATTAAAGACTAAATGGACCTTTTATTTTAATGGTAAAATTCATCTAGGAATTCTGGCATCTTGGTTTAAGTTAGCTGACTTGTATAGACTTCATTTTTACTTTTTGGCAAAGGTCCACCCAAGGGCAAGTTCGAAACAGATTAACGTTTATTTGTTCACTTAACCAGAGTGCAGTTAAAAGAGCAGGTTGTAAAAACAGATTGCTTGAGTTTGACATGTGTCTCTTTATTGTCTTACACACATTAGCCTCATTCTAGGTGCCTTGGCTACCACATTCAAAATACAGGGTTAAAAAAGGTAACCGTTTCTTAGGATTGATGAGTTCGTATAAAATAAGCACTTGGCTCCAGGGGTCCAGTACATACAAAATTGGTGTGAGAGATCCTTCTGTCTATGTGTTGCTTTTATTGATTAATGAATAAAGAACTGCTTTGAGCCTATGGCAAGGGCAGAACAGAACTGGGGGAGGGGGGGAGCTAGGCTGTATGCTGGCAGCTTTAAAGAGGATGGAGTCAGACAGACGCCATGGAGCAGCTGCCAGAGTCAGACATGCAGAATCTTTGCTGGTAAGCCACTGCCACGTGGTAATGCACGGATTAAAGGAGATGGGTTAAATTAATATGTAAGAGTTAGCCAATAAGAAGCTAGAGCTAATAGGCCAGGCAGTGATTTAAATAATCTGGTTTCTGTCTGATTATTTCCGGTCTGAGCTAACCAGGCGGCTGGGACAAACAAGCGGCTCATTGCGACACAAAATAGTGTCATATATTAGTGCTGTTTTAACTTAAAAGTCATTGTACAATTAAGGAGATTTTGATTTGAATAAATACCTGCCTTCTGCTCATCTTTTGACAAGAATGACTTTGCTCTCAAACTGATTAAATTATTGTCTTTGTCAATGGGGGGAAAATACAAAGAACTGAAGATTCTTTCCATAGAATTTCTTTTCCAAGAATCATTCTAAAACTTTTAATATAATTACCATTTAATACAGAATATGTCAGCCTCAGTTTCTCAAACAGGCTGCTGCAAATGTTTTCCCCCACTGCTTCAGGGTTTAGAGACAAGTCAAGTTCTTTTCCACAGCTGTAATTAAATCTCAGCTTTCAGATCCGCTAATCACTGCATCACAGACCCTTGTGTGTTTACTACAAAATACTTACGTAATTAACATTAAACATATACTTACAACTGAATTCTAATGCTGTAATCTTACCTTATACCTTATCCCATGGGAAATGAAGGGGGGACAACTCAAGAATTAAGGGAAAACATTAGGTAAATGAAATTGACTCTAAATAAAATCTTTTAAAAGACATTCCTGAGTTTCTCTACCCATTCCCTGTGTACTCTTGTAGGCATAGGCAGTGAGAACCTTCTTCATTTGCCACATCACACAAACGGCTAGCTCAATCAGTCTTGGATAGATGCAGCAAACTATGGTATAGGCCTTCAACAATGCCTTCCTTTCAAAAAGGAATCTCTATTCAACTTCTCCTGTAACTTCAAAAACTGTGGATCCTAATAATTCAGCTTTGAAAGACATGTTGCCACACATACACATACTTTCCTAATGAGATATATATATACCTCACTACCACACAGTTTTGTTTGCACTACATGTATTGGTAGTTCAGCTTACTGACTTGTTTTTAAGTTTCAAAAGCTAGGATCTAACTACATACACCTTCAGACAGAGAAAAATGGCTAATAGGAGCTAGATAGAAGGTTCATGGAAGATTCTATAGTTTTTAAGACTGGGAAACTGGTTTCTCTGATATGAAATATATCTTCATGTGCTTTCAGAAGTCTAAGACTCAAATTTACTCAGTGAGATACATGTAGCAGGTTTCAATAAGCTCCTTTTGTTGAGAAAGAAGCAGAATGCCTTAAAAAAATTAGATTTTGCAGACCATCATGTAAATGGCATAAGTTGTTCTTACTTCAGATTCAATTGTTTTAGAAGTAGAACTTCCAAATATATGTAACTTCAATAACCATCAGCTGTCACATTTCCTGTCAACTCTGGGACACACATTTTACATCTTCCTGGTATTCTGGAAGTGTGGATTGTTGCATAGGCTGTTGGCTTAGTTGGGCCAACTGTGGTGGTCACTTGTGTCTTTTAATATATGAAAATCAAATGGTCAGCATGCCAGATGCTTGACATTTCCCACTCTCAAAATCAATCACCGGTCTGAACTCCATGGCTATTACTCAGAGACTCAGAGGTTTGCTGTAAGCAGAGACCATGACCTTGGAACAATTATTTTCTCAAAAGACATTACCAATAACGATGTGAGTAGAATGCCCAGACTGCCCTCCAGCGCATGAATCCCTAGGTAGGAAATGGTTGTGAACCTTGCAAAGTAGTCTGGCTTTGGCTTAAATCTCATTTTAATGCATTTATATTTCATAAGCACTGCATTTAGACAGAGGTAAAACGAGCGAGTCAAAGAAAACACTCACTGAAAGACTTCCTGTTCTCTGGTTTCTGTTCTTTTCTATCACCGTGGCAATGACTCAGCAGTTCAGTACTTGAGGATCTCTGGAGATTGAACAACTCCAGGGACTGGCAACTCGGATTCTTCGGCTGGAAATAACAAGCAATACCTTGAATACTTTTACTAGGAAGAAAGCATTCACCAAACTGTTTCATGTTTTGTCTTGATGCTACATGTAACCAGACTTTGGAATACATTAATTATTTTGGGGATATGGCCTCTGTCTACGCACAATGCTTACACTGATTCATACACCAAAACAGTGTTCACTAAATGCTATGAATTATTCAAAGAACTTCACACACAGCAACCCAGTTACTCCTCTCAGGCATTCAGAAAGGCTGCCACATACTGAGGAAACAGACAGAAGGAAAAGAACCCACCTTTCCCAAACCATGCAGCTACTAAATAGGATCTGCCTTCAAATTCAGAAATTTTGGACTTATACTTCATATTTGAAGTTAATAATCCGTGTGTTTGCTCCCTTTTTATGGAGGCTCTGTTGATGCTATGGAAAGACTTTTAATTTGTAGAGTTTGATCTTAAAAGGATACAATGAAAGATTTTGAATATATTCTCCTATTTTATAAGCTATTAAAAGCTCTCAAGAGCCGGGCGGTAATGGCGGACACCTTTAATCCCAGCACTCGGGAGGCAGAGGCAGGCGGATCTCTGTGAGTTCGAGACCAGCCTGGTCTACAAGAGCTAGTTCCAGGACAGGCTCCAAAACCACAGAGAAACCCTGTCTCGAAAAACCAAAAAAAAAAAAAAGAAAAAAAGAAAAAAAAAAAAGCTCTCAAAAACATTTTCCAAATAATTCTTATAAAATACTAGTGAGTTAAAATTAAGTTAGTAAGAAACAGTTTTAAATAATTTAGGCCTTTGAAACGTATACTCTGAGTGTGTTATTTAAGTCAACTTCCTGAAGTTCTAGGTGTCTAACATTCTTGGGAAGAACATTCTAGCTTAGCTGGGAAATAATAAAAACAAGCATAAATGATTTTTATCTGTGGTATTATAACAGTAAGTACAGTCATAAATGCAGAGATATTTACTTTCCAGAATATATATTAGAGACTACATAAATGGAAAATGGAAAAATGCAATACTTTCGAAGCGCTTGTGTGCTTTTACAACCTCCAATAAATGAATGCCCGTGTTATTCTAGAAAAAGAACGCAGCAGTTTTGAAGGAGAGAAATTAAATGGCATTTACCTCACAAATCCTGTCTGCAAGCAAGGTTCCCAGTGTTCTTTATTAAGCTTAAAATAGCTAATATCTCTCAGCTGTAGGATCCATTTAGACGTGTGAACGTTAGACGCCTGAACAGTAAGATTTAAATGACTACATTTTAATTAATAAATGTAACAGCCCAAACAAATACATACCAATCTGTCAATTGCATTTTTGATAGCATGGAACCAATCCAATATGATGAAGTCAATATCTGACTGGAGAAGGAACTCATTTCCTGATGCTGTTGTGATCTGAGAGGAGAAATTGACAGGAAAGAGCACCATGTTAGATAGATTTCTTACGTGAAAAAGCCCTTCTCAAGAACACGTTTATCACATGGACAAGTTTCCTTGTATTCCCGTAATTGTCTTGCTGGGAACTAAGGCCACTACTGTCATTTTGAACTTCTCTCTGTAAACTGTTTTTTTTTTTTCACGTCATAACAAATACATGATTGTTTTAGTAATCGAAAGATTAACTCAGAGCAGGACTAAAGCTGAGTTCCTTTCTCTCCAGCTTCAGCAGAAAGAAGTTGAGGGATCCAACAGTGCATGCACGAGATAAAAGCCAAGAGAAGTGCCCAGCCTGTGTCAGAATTCACTCTGGGCTGTTGGCTCTTTCCTGTCTGTCGTTTTCAAATCTAATAGTATCTCTATATTTGATTTTCTTTTACGGAGGGCTCTAAAAGAGATTATTTACCAAAGGGACTAATGCCGACTTTTGCAAAAGGTCATTCAGATGAATAACTTCGGGTCGTTCCTGGCTTCCTACAGTAAAGCTCTATAGGAAAGCCATAAAGGACCAATTTCCTCACAAAGAGAGTGTATTAGAATACGGTTTCATTTGCATATTAGAACCTTTGGTAGAAAGTATAAATCAACATCAGTTTCCAGCCTCTCAGTGCTGTTAAGTGGTTGGCGATGCTTAGCATAGCCATCATTTTCCATTGCAGTGGATCCTTCCCTTCAGACACGAGACATGATAGGACCCTATACAAATACAGCAAGCAATCCTTTTGATTCCACCCATAAAGGACTTGTTAGGGGAAAATTTGATTAGCGTGAAAGTGGACATGTTTTTCCTATGAGGCCGCCAATCTGAACTGTGAAGGTTTTCTCTTTGTATTATTAACCTTTTTTTGGAGCAAGAGGACAGACATTTCTCAACAACCGGCACACATCAAGCCAGGCAACAGAACTTTAGAGGATTGGCATTTCAAGAAAATCTGTCAGGAGCCAGTTACCTCTGCTCAGCCCTGAAAGCTCCAATCGGTAAATGGTGAAAGGTGCCACAGGTTCAGAAAAACCACAAATCACACAGGCTGGCTTGGAATTCTATCAGTAGAGTGACAAGGTTAACCCCAAATGGCTTATTCTGCCAGTTCCAATAATTTTGTGGCATCATTTAAAAACAATTACCTTGGTATTTTTTTAAAGTATAAATAGAATATTGTTTGCAGACAAGTATGGTTATTGCTTGAGTATTTAATACAATAAATGATCTCTCATTGGCTATTTGGTCTAAACGTTCCGATGTTAATGCATCAGCAACAATGACAAATAACCGGTAGTATAATAAATAATAATATTCATCAATCTATCTATTGATACTTCTAAGTATCATTTTAGTATCATGTATGCATGAATCTACATATTTAAGTATCCTTTGCTGTCATTTAAGGATGCTGGGAATTATAATCAGAACTGTGTGTGTGCAGAGATGTGTGTGCACTATCCTCATGATGAGATATACTCAGACCATTGGTCAGTATAATTCCTACTGGTACACTGACTCATTTAAGTCAATATTGTAACACAAAGTATATATAGGATTAATATGTCTTAGTATGTTAAAAATGCTTCATACACTAAATGGTCTGCATTCTCTAGATTTACTATCGATGCTATATGAACTTACATAAACTGTCATTTTTCATCCTGGAAATATTTGATGTTGATCTTGGGATTTTAAAGAAATCTTTGCCTTCACAAAATGTGAATAAATGTATTTCTTATTTTATTTTCAGAAGCCTTTAAAGAGATGTAATACTAGTGAGGACAGCCAAGAACACATTCTTAGGTGCCATGAGTTCCAGTGTCAATTCTGGTTCCTTCTTCAGTAAAGAGAGAAGTGGCCAAATTATAAAAAGGGAAAAATTGGAAAGTAATAGGATTAATTACACACCCTAAAATCTGACAGATTACTGGATCCAATTACTCTTTTTCTCTCCCTCTTTTGAAGTAAAATGGCATGTAAAATTTGGGGTGGTTCAAAATAGCCATGTGTCCATGAAAAGAAAGCCAGGATGATATTTTTCTAATTATCTGATTGCCACTGCATGTTCCTTACTTACATAGAATTATAAATATTTACTTTCTAAAGTACTGCCTCAGAAACTAAGGTCTAAAAACATAAGGCCACTTGTAAGTAACACAAGAAATCTAGTATTGTCCTCACCTTTTACTTTGATTTTAAATTTAGATATTTTGATTATTAATATTTTATACATATCACAATTTGTTGTTATACATAAAGAAAAATGAGTTTCCCAAACGCAGAGTACAGTATAATATAATACTTTATACCGGTATAAATACATTATTAAGATTATAAAAGGAACAACATTTAAAAGGAAAAGAAAAAGTATAATTAGATTTACTGTATCTTGAAGGTGAACAAAAAGAGTTGTCCGGTTTTTGCCCTAGTAAATTCAAACTGTGGCAAGTAAATTTCAGCACTGCCTTTGCCGTTCTGATGCTATATGCACAGTTCAGAACGGGCCTTTTTCCTGCTCACATAGCCAAACACAAGCTGTATTTTTAAAAGTTTCTTTGTCTAAATATATTACAGCATTAATCATACACAATCAGTGACTTATAAATTCACTCTGGGAAGCTAGAGTAAGGAGATCTGTGAACGCAGCTCCTCTGCATCAGCCAATCAGAGGCATCCTGCTCACATCTTCCTCTCAGTCTTCCCGGTAATCTTTGGAGTTCCTAGGCAGTGTGGGGAAGACTGCTACTGCTCTCTACAGTTTAAATGCATCCACTTCTTAATTGCAGCCAGTAATTGACTTTATTCTGTTCCACTCCAGACTCACACAGAAAGGTACTTTTTGAATCTCTACCGTGTAAAGTCCACTTAATTCAGCTTCCCAATCTCTCTTTCTATATTTTTGTAGTCTTTGCCCCTTCAGAATTTCTGATAAGTGGGTTGTGAGTCATTTTTTTGTACTTTGAACAATTGAATCTTCAGATTTTCAACACAGGTTCCAGTGGCAGTGGAGGACATGGGTGGAGGATGTTACCTTGCCCTAAACCTTTTGATTGAACGGCACACGATGCCAGTTTACAGCAATGTACAATAGCGGGCAGAAGGGATCTACAGTGAAGCCATGATAATGGGACCCTTCTTTGTGTGCTATTTGGGAGCTGCAGGTGTAAGGTAGTGAAAACAAAACTTACAGATAACAAAACAGGTTTTTGTGGAAGCTGCTGGCCTCCCTTCTGTTTAGGATCGCACCTAGTCACAATACTAATGAAATCCTGCATCTCTACTAGTCTACATTTTTTTTTTTTTTGGTGGGCGGTATATAGAAAATCAGCAAAGCAGCTTTGTCAAAGGGGACTAGTATCATTGATGAAAAATATGCATAAATATTTGGAGAAATTTACCTCGTTGTTTCTTAAGGGATGGACATATGACAGTTATTGGTTACAACTTTAAACCATGAGTGAATCATCAATGGTGGGGCCTGAAAGACGCCAGCACTGCCCTGGGAATGCCTTAGACAGTTTTACTCAAAGTGTGGGCCCATCTCGATTCTTGTTAGTGATAAATTTACATCCAAAAATTCTATAAGCAGTCACGGACCAACAGGAAGAGTAGGCAAATTCCTGGGACTTTTCTGAAATTCATTGACAATAGTCTCCCATGGGCATGGGACTTTGGTCTGTATCTTTGGTGCCTCCATAGACAGAGTTGAGTTTGTAAATTTCATGCTCCACGATAGGACTTGTGGTGGGACAATTTGTTTTGTTTTGTTGGGTTTTTCTTTTTTTTGGGGGGGGGGGCAGGGTTTCTCTGTTTAACAGCCCTAACTAACTGTCCTGGAATTTGCTTTGTAGACCAGGCCAGCTTTGAACTCACAATGATCCGCCTGCCTTGGCCTCTTGAGTGCTGGGATTAGAAGCATGCACCACCATCGCCCGATGGGACAATTTTTTTTTAAGTGAATTGAATATTGGTATGTTAACTGAGAACATCTTCAAAGAATAGTGTTTTATTTTTAAAAGAAAGCATTTGTATTTTTCACTGGTGTCCTTTCTGACGTTTTCAAGTATCATTATGGTCAACAAGGCAGTATTAGGTTTTAATTTGGATGAAAAATAACTATGTATAATGACATTTATAGTAATAAAAACTTCTTTGGTTTTATTAACATAGAAGTGAACTATTTTTAAATCTTCTCTTTTTCTGGTTATTGGAGATAGATAAAATGTGGAGAATGGGAAGGTTAAAATAATAAAGAATAAAACTGCTCCTGGCTACACAGATTAAACATAGCACACATTTGAATTGAGCCATTATCTATCTTTCGTAAATAGTAGCTAAATAAGTATGATAATTATCAATGGGTACATTGATGCATGAGCAAACCATATTTAATAAGTAAATATTATTGACTTTTTTGTTTTCTGTTGAACTCAAACATTCCTGGGATGGCAAGTAATGATACTGGGATGCCATTGTACTCCTTTCTTTCTCTCTGATGTACCACCTTTTCAGTTGCATAATAAATGCTACAGATAATTCCATGTCTATGGTAAGTTTATATGAGAAGACATGTTTATAATTGATTACATATCTAATTATCAACAAAGACTGATGGATTGCCCATTAAATACAGGGAGCAGTGTTTGAAGTTAGTGATCTATGACCCTTCCCGTTAAGAACTGTAAATCTGTTTGGCTACATAGGTCATCTACATATTAAGATAAATAACCATAGAAAATGATTTATCCTAGGTCCCAAAGTGAGTGGCACAGACCATACTCATGACAAGGAGGGCATAGCTATTGTGGCTGCACTTGCATCTTGGAATTGTGTATAACTGTTGGCCGTGATGGGTTATTTTCAAAGGTTGATGGAATCAGAACTTTGAGGTATTGAGGACATAAATACCACTACTACTTTGTATGCAAAGTGAAGCTAGCTTTAGAGATCTCAAAGCACTTAAACATCTAAAGTG